ATATGATCTTCTGAAGGCCCTATCTTCTAATACCATTCACTCAGAGTTAGGATAGCAGCCTACAAATGGGGTGAAGGGACACAGACATTCAGTGCCTTATATTACTGCATCATGAGACAAAATACGTACAATAGTTACCAATTTCAGAGTTAGTTACAAGTGCCTCATGTCCCCTGATTTTATTGCTACTACTATTTATACACCACAGTTCTTTTGCAATCATTTGTAAGTGTCTGAATAACAGTATATTTCAGTAAAAATCATAATTTGAGTTGTTCAAATTCTTTGAATTTCTTAAAGTTATACAACAAAATAACGAAAAATAATTCAAATCAGAGAAAATTTTAAAAATATTGCCATAATTGATGTAACACTCCAGCAACAACAGCTGTAAGAGTCCTGGCAGATTTTTATGCCATCATTTTACTTTTTTTCCACAAATTTGATCTAATTAAAATGTTATTATCAATCCATATTTCTTTTATTACTTCATAAACTCCACAAATATATTTTATTGAAAAAATAATTTGCTTCCTTTAAAATCTGTGCACAGTCTTACATGTATTAAATGTACCCCATTTTTGCCCCCCAGTGCATGTTGTAGTAGATAATATGTTTTAAAGTGCTAACTCAAAGTGGTAGGCAATACCCAGAGCTTCTGTGCAGTATTGCATTCTTCAAAGCAAGCTTATGTGATATATAGTTATGCATTGTACAGTGTATATGGTAAATATTATCTCATTTTCCTCAATAACTAATTTACACCAATATATTATATATAAAGAATCTATCTAGGATTCTGCCTAGTTTAACTGAAAACTCTATGATGTTAATTATTTTGCAACAGGATGATGTCGGAGAGAACCCTGATTGCCCTTTGGTAGGTTTTGAAGTATAGGTGCTTCTCAGCTTTCAATGGGATTATTTCCCAGTTAGCCCATTGACATTACCCAAGTCCAAATGTGCTCATCACAGCTAACCATAGCGCATCATGACTTATCAACTGTTAGCTCCAGAGCACAGGTTATTTACCATCTTGGTCACCTGGCTGCTTCTGCCAAGCACTGGGAGACAGGAGCATAGAGCCTTGGGAAAAAATCAAACTCCAACATGTGGTTTTTATTGAACATGTATCTCTTTTGAAAAATTGTAAGTCAAACCACCAAAAGTCATGAAGGTTCAGTAATATTTTCTAGCTGACTGGTACCAATTTGCAGTGTCATCTGTTGTGTAAAATGGCCCTGCTTCCATTTCTCCAGCCACCAATGAGAAGCATATTTATTTCTGTTTTACTTTAAGTGAGTAACTGATACAGACTTTTAATTTTTCAGAGTTTTAATCAAGCAAAATAAAAACATTTTCAACCTAAGGTTACTTTTGTGTGTGTGTGAAATCATTCATGTTTCTCTTGTACCCCTAGTGACATTGTTTTTCTTATTCACTTGTATGAATGCTTGCTTAAGAATTGAAAATCATCATTTATCCAGCTTGCAACCTTGCTTCTCTGATCTAGAATAGCGGAGTATCTCTTCCCTAGAGGCGTAATCACCTTACTGCTATGGAGGGAAATTGTTTCACAGTGAGGCACTTCATAGGCATATTGATCAACTTTCTGTAGGCGTGGCTAAGGTAATTTCATTTGAATCTTTTTGGAGTCTTAAAGGTTTCTGTTATCTGCTTTTAGTCTTCTGAAGGACAGATCAAAGTATTTTGTTAAAACAAAGACCAGTAGCTTTTGATAATAGTCCTGAAAGGGGTGAGATATTTAAAACTTGGATCATAATGATCTTTGTTATGCGACATGTACTTCACTAGTGTCTGGGGTTTTAAAAGCTGGAGGCTGAGATTATGTACCTGTGCTGAACTGCAGATCACAGAAATGAGACTGACTGCTATTTCAAGCACTTTCTGGCTTCCACTTCTAAATTATCTCGGAGGCTGACTTTCAATGTGTGCTTATATGAATACTTATTGATTATGGAAAATAATTTTCTATATCATCTGATGTGAAGTTGTCACTGTGGAAGCATCCTCAGAGTTTATTTTAAAACACTTATTTGGGATGTTGTTATTCCACCTCAGAAGTCCACAAAGAAGAAAGTTCAGGTTAGTGTTCCTAAGAACACATTAATTTACAGGCTGTCTTGATCATTAGTTGTGTATTAAGAAGTATATTTGGTTAAATGATTTTCTAAACTTCATTAATCATTCTGTAATGATATGAATTTATCTGCATGGCATTAGTTACTTTGCTATATTTTAAATGGGAAAATTTATCATACTAGTGTTATATGAATCATGAAAAATCAATTCCTCTGAGATAATGAGAACCTGTTGTGGCACACTGATTACATTACCAACAGTAACAGCTCCTGATGTCTAAAAGCATATGATGTGTTAGAGTGTGAGCAAAGGTAAATGTTTGTGTTTTTTCTCTATTTTTAGAAAACCTGTGAGAAAAGATCTGCTGTTATTCCCATGTTATATCTACTAACTTTGAGACAGAGATGCTAACTAAGTTACTCAAGGTAATTTATTCAGGCACATTGAAAAAAAGTTTAGGAATATATCAGTACAATAACTAAAACAGTAATTCACACATACACACAGAAAAGGTACACTTTTTTCTTTACATAGGCTCACATTTTTAATTAAGTTTTATTCAAACAATAACCTAGAATTCTTGGGGCCAGGGAATTAGCTCAGCAGCACAAGCTGACTGGCAAGCATGAGATCATGATTTCGATCCCTGGTATCAAAGGAAAAAAAAAATTCTAATAATAGGTAGGAAGATTTAGATTATTCAGCACTAAAATGTGTGGCCAGTGAATTGCATGTGATGCATGTGTGTTTATATTTTACATATGTGAGAGTGCATGGATGTGTGTAATTTATGTACTGACCTGGGATACATTGCTCATGTATGTGTATATACATATTTAAGAAACTGAATAAAGTCCTTATTAGTTTTAGAATCATTAGTGTCCTTATTAGTTTTAGAATCTTGAGCATTAGAACACTGACCAATAATGAAGTACCCTATTGCATAATTCCCTACCCCAGGGCAGGCTATGCTGTCCTAAGCAACGTTCTATGTGGATTTATAGACTCTAAATTCTTTCATGCAGTGGAATATTTGTGCTTTATGAAAAGAACATGTCATTACTGTTTCTCACTAAAATACAATTGGATATACTTGTTAACCAATATTATTTCTTATGCATTGAGCAGTGCACATAGTTAGTACACACATACAAATTTCCTCCTGGATTAGTAGATATCAGTACATTAAGGTAGTTGTGCTGAGCCAAACTGCAGTATAGTGAAACACTGTCATTCATTATGTGCAAACTATGAAAACATACATCAAGATAATATCTTTATCTCAAGAAATCAGTCATCTAAGAAAGAAGGACAACCTTGTTTAAAGGGCCAAATAGTAAATGTTTTAACTTTTCACACCAGAGTGTATGTAACACCCGTAAACTCTATGCTGAGAGCCGTAAGCTACACAGGTAGTTAGGTGGTACTGTGTCCAGTAGCATGGTGCTTACTGATGAGTTGGGTGGGCTCCAGAGGCATAATTTGCTTATCTCTGTCTGAGAGAAGCAGCATGGAAGTTAACGTTTTAAAGATAACAGTACTTCTTGAAGACGTGAATGAAATAAAAATAAAGAAAATCTTATGAACTATCCAAATATTTTATAGATGTGTTCCTGCTCTTAGAGTATTTTAACAAAGTAAAATCTGACTTTCATTAAATCTACAGTGGAATGTTCTTTAAAATACATGATCATAAAGAGTCAAATTGAAAATAAATATCACTGTATCCATTCTGCTTATTAGGGCTCCATTATTGACAGTCAAATCCTTTGATACCTTAAAATTTCAACTTTTCTATCATAACTACTCAACTGTACCATAGCAGCATAAATAAAGAATTCATAAATAATGAGCGTGAATATAAATGTATTATGGTAAAACTGTATTTACCAAAACACCTGATGAGCTGAATTGGACCCGTGGGCTAATGCTTAAAAAAATGTTTACTCTTCCTTTCAAGAGTATCCATTGTAATTTGATTTGGAAACACTTATGTTTTCATTAACATTTGAAAATATATTAAATATTTACATTTTATTTTCTCCTTGTTTAATATGAAATAGAGTATATATATATATATATATGTATATTTTTAAAATAAGATTCAAAATAGATTTTCATGCAGACTAAATCTGGTAATGTATGATATCATTATTGAGATCATATCAAAGTTCTCTTGAAATCACTTTATGTGGATATACTGCTCCTAAAAAATAAGAGAAAATCATTGAATTATTTCTATGCTGTACTCTGCCATCACACTATGTGGTTTCAATCAAGAATGTATTTTGTTTTACAATTTATTTTATCTAGACTTTTCACTAAGATTATGTGGAATATTAAAATGAATCTTCAGTATTGAAATATCCAGAAAAGTTTATCTATTATTGTTTTCTTTTTCTGTATACCCAAATCTCTGAAAATATTTGGAGATGTATTTTTAAAACCTGGAATGATAAATTTAAATTGCTGACCTTTGGTAAATGATTCAAGACATCACATAAGCATAAAACTTTTCATAGACACTAAGTAATACCCGTGGCATTCAAAATCAGTGGATCGACTGAGGGAGACCTTCTCACTCCTAAAACTTGCAGTGTACCTGCAAGCTGTGTCTTTAAAGGGCTATTTAGAAAGTCTTGCAAACCTGTGTTTTGAGGGAATTTCTGAGGGAAGATATTCAGATGGGCATACTTTTTTATTTGTATGTCTACATTACTTGCATACAATTAATTCAAATATATTGCCTTGTTCTTCCAACTGAATCCTAATTTTAAGTGAAGTAAAAATAACTATCTGGTACAGCACTACACCTGAGTGAAATCCACAGTGTCTTTATGCTGTCTCCGAGGGAGTGGGATCTCTTCTTATCTTGGGCTTTCTTGTTTGCTTTTCAGTTGCTGCGAATGCGGCTGTGGGAGGGCTTCTTCCCTGTGCGCTGTTGCCCATCCAAGCTTAATATGGTTAGTGGTCCCTCTCGCTTTCTCTCCTCTGTGACGTCCACTGCTCTGTATGACCGCCAGCATCTTTGCTTTCTCCGTGTGTGTACATGCTAACACTCAGTGCACCCGTTACACTTCTACAGTGAGAAATGAAAACGATTCCTGCAGGTTAATGCTAGCAAGTGGATTATTGAAAGTAAGGTATTATGCACATACCATGCCATCGCTGTGTCAAGGTCATACCTGTGTTCCAAGGCTTTCATGTGCTTCTGATTCCAGCTAGGAAGTTGTAAGATTACAGCATCTGTTCCACATTTAACATGTCACTGTTTTTTTGTTCCATTCAGTAAAATCCATATCACACATTGAAGTAAAGCACTACTTCTGTCAAGGTTAAATCACCGTTTATGTCTCCCAGATCCATGGAATGACCATAACATACAACTGAGATTCTCTGCTGTCATAATCATTGTGGATACATGTGGCCTTGGTGAATAAAACCACATGTAATTTTAAATGGTTTACATCATTGTATTGAGTTTGAATTATTTCAGATACCTGAAGTGATATTCCTATTTTGATACCACTGATGTAAAAAAAAAACAAAACAAAACAACAGCAAAAAAAAAACACATCTGTATAATCAGTGTCCAAATGGGATAGCCCCAAATATTTATAATTGCAAATTTTAAATATACATTTGGGTATCACTGTGGTACCAAGGGCTGGAATATAGGATAAGAGAACTCTGTTTACCGATTTAGGGAGACCTTTACACAATAGTGATCTACCTTGAAAAAGTGAAACACTCCAAGTGATTGCTTTGTAGATTAAAAAGCCTAAATCTGTGAAGAACCATTCTGAGTTTTATTTTTAGTCAAAATTTGCCAAGAAAGATCACTTAATATGCACTTTAGAGAATAATAGGGTTCCATAGTGGCATGATAATTGCTGTTTGTGTTCTTTGGTTATAAATGAAATCTGGCTGTGTGGATGGGCCTGCACCATGAGCAGGCTGGGTGAGGCGGGGTGGATGCTGGAGTTCTTCTGGATGGCCCAAGCTGATGTCATTTAGAGGTGATCCTCTCAACCTCTTGAAAGTTTGCATTTGCAGAATCTTGAAGTGACTAGGAAAGTGCAAATTTGTTCCAGGTTATTTAACTTACAGAGGAAATTCTTATATGCATGGAGCTTCAGTGGCAAGCCAAATAAAATCTGAAATCTAGACATTGCTAAAGTATAAATTAAATGACTTTACATTATCATTTTATTATGACAAACTAAAAAAAATAATTATTCTGCTTGCTTTCATTCTAGTTATAGAAGGTAAATTATGACTGAAGTGGAATAGGTAAATTTACATATTTTTAAATTGGAGATTGATATCAAAACCTAGCTTGAAGTAAATTTCAAAGAGATCTATGTGGGAGTGTAAAGATTTATAAGCACAATACCTAAACAATATTGATGAAGATGTCTTATAACTAAATTAAAGTATTTAATTTTTTAAATAGTATCTTTTTCTATTCTTTAATTGGAAAGAAATAAAGTGGGAAGGCACTTTCTTTGCAAGAAATACACAAGAAAACCAAAAACATTTTTTTTTTTTATAAAATCCTCCCTCAAATAATGTTGGCAATTGTGCAGAGAACACATTTGGTTTTGTGCCTATGTACTTGTGAGTGAATGAGTGTGTGTGTGTGTGTGTGTGTGTGTGTGTGTGTGTGTGTGTATGTGAGTGAAGATTATTTAGCTACATATGCTCACAGATACTCACAAAATGCTGATTCTTCACTGTCACATTTATGGATGAACTGGAAAATCTGAAATTTTGTCGCCTAATTTGTATGCTTGATCATAGCTGTCAATTACTATGCAAATAATTTTCAAAGAACATTATCATCATCATCACTTATGAGCAGGCATATTTGCAATTAATTATAGAGCAGAGATTTGTAAACATTTTCAATCTTGTACTCTTGTTTATTTCTTGAAGATCACTCATGAATGTATGTGTGATTAGTTTTGACCTTAATATAATATGATGCATACACATTAAAAATGCTTATTGCCAACTCAGTGGCTGTTAGAAATACCTTGAGTTACTTTGTGGAAATATACCTTATGGACATCAGTTTTTAACACCTTCAATTAGATCCTTGGTCCTGCTATGTCCAAGCTTCTGTAAGGTGCTGAGATTCTGATTTTTGCTCTGTCAATATTTTCCAACAGAAAATAAGACTCTTTTATTTCCCCCATGGTGTGATGAACCATTTATAACATTAAATTTGTAATTACATGTTATCACCATTGTTCCTTGATCTCAAATTGTTTTTCATCACTGTGACTAACTGCTTTCTTGTGATACCATAGACATAATGTTAGTTTTTCACATATTTCTGCTTTCATTGAAATCTGAGTGACAGAAGCTATTTGTAAATGAAACTCAGATGCCTAGATTTTGAGCATACTATCTCCAAGATCGCCCACATTTCTAGCAGAGATATTTTCATCAGAGGAAAATTGTTTTTGCCTGTATGCCATCACAACTGGCTGGAGACTCAAATAATTGTTTCACTTCTGTAAAGTTTTTTGTTTGTTTGTTTGTATTATAGATCAAACTCACAATAAGCAGGCACTTGTACTGCTCAGCTAAACCTCCTTTAAAGTTACATTTTATAAACAAGAAATGTTGAATTATTTTAATGTAAATAGCGTCTATATCTACATCTACATTGTATATTTCGCTTCTATTTATATTAAAATAATTGTAATAAAATATGAAAAATATTTAACTGTATAGTTTCTAAAGTAATATTACCATTTATGCCTGAATAACCACTTGCATTTATACTTACAGAAATCAGTACTTATTTATAGAATAATACAGCATATAATTTTAATTCCATATGTAATATCCCATGTACATTAGTAGTCAATCTTTGCACTTCTTAAATGTGAACAGATATTAGATTCTTTTATTATTCAATTAGTCTTTATTCTTTCCAATGTTTTCATATCTTTTACTACTTCTTAGAGGCAAGGGAAAGGGAATTCAGTATTTATAAATCAGAAATCTTTATGTTTATTTCATTGATTTGTCTATTCTATTTAGGAAATTTTTAAAGAAATTACCTTTCTTGTTTTAAAAAATTTTAAACATTGACCTAAGAGAGTAATTAGAGCTCATTATAATGTACGTTATAACGTTAATATTATCAGGAACAATTTACCCACCGCCTTAGGGTAGATACAAAGAAAATGGATTGATTTGTTAATTACCCATAGGGTCACTGCTATATTTATTTAACAGGAATTTCGGTAGACCTTTTTAATAAATAAATATTAATGAAGACGAGTTATGTTTTTATATAATTTCTCATGTTCATTTCTAGTATAAGAAATAAAAACACATTTTTTTTCTACAAGAACATGAGTATACATCATACAAAGATGATTCCTCCAAAAACACATTCTGCCTATTTTTTTAGTACAATATTTTCAAAGTTTGTTAGAGTTATGGCATAAAGCAAAAGGAGAGAACTGTTTCCTTTCCATTCAGAAAAAAAAAAAAAATCCAGAAAGCAGGAGACATCATTGATTTAGAAATGACATATTATTGACTGTTTGATTGATTAAAACCGTGCATGTGGACAGTACAGAGGAGGCTGGTTGAGCTCACTTGCAGTACTCGGCTCCCGTATGGTCTCTGCCAGCTGTACTTCCTCTGGCTGTAGCTCCTTGAGGCATGTTTTAATGATGCTTTGGGGGTTCAGAACTTAATTTTATATGTTAATGTGACATTTGGCCGTTCGCGTTACAGAGCTCCAGAGATGCCCATAGTCAAAAATAACTCCTGTCTCTTGCTTTGTGGACTCTCACCCTAGATAATCCACCAGTAACCACTCCTCAACAAGGCACTCCCAAATTGTTTTTTCAGATGAGATCCAAAGTTTTATTTCCATTTTCACATGAGGAATTTGCATGGAATTGAAATATCTAAGGGCTTATTTAATGACAATGGCAGGATACCATTTTCAAAGATTGTCATTTATTTCTTTGGTATTGAGGCAGTCAAGGGTATTATAAATGTTTCTTTATTAATCTAAGCTGCAAGATTGTATAACCTCTCCGTTTCCTTTAAAATTCTACTAAAGTTTGTCAGTATTATTTAAAAATATAAACCTCAGGATAATTTCCCTACAATTGTATTTAGAAAATTGTTTAAAGGAAAAACCAATAGCTTCTCTCCAGAGGAATGTGCTTAAAGACTGAAAAAATGATGTAATGTCTAGCAAAAATTTGAACAGTGTATTAAATTAATTTAAATCTTAGCTGGCTAGATTAAATACAATTTCTGGAAAATTTTTATACATTTGTTTTTTTTCTGTCCATTTCACTGTGGTGAGGTAAATTGAGATATCTTAAGGACTCGTGAATGACAAAATGTATCTAAGTACAGAATTAGGAATAAAATAAAAATTTAAGAACTATCATATCTCTATTGTACATCTTTCCTATATAAAGAACATTGTATGTAGTAAGTATATTATTTTGTTTCCTCAAAAATTTAATAGCCATACCAATAAATTGTAAGTTCCTCAACATGATCAAAATAATTGTGATTTTCAAAAAATGTGATAAGACTGATTTGTTAATGTGGTAATATGTAAGTAAATACACACTAGAAAATGACATAATATAAAGTACATTTTACTTGTATATCAAATTATACTAGCACTTTAAATATTCCAGTGTATATGTAAGCAAAAATTATTTGATGGTAAATGTCTAATGGGTATTTCATTTACTTTACATATTTGTTTTCAAACAACTTTGCTATGAAACTACTTTGTCAGAGTGCCATTTGGCTGTTTTTGCTTAATGCAGTCATAAAGAAAAAAAACTATCTTTAATGAACTCAATTTTGTGGTGGGATCTTGTGAATAGTAAAATCACTTCCTGCAAGTTTCGCTAAAAATAAATATTTTCATTTTTGCCAGCTGTTGAATGTTACATGGTTAATCATGTATGTCAATTCAGTATTCATCAGCATAGTCCTTTACCGAACCCATCATTGTGTAGACACAATCAAAATACCATTCACTCATTCATTTATTCATTCATCAATGTGACAAATATTTTTAATGCCAACTCTGAATAAGTGATAACTCACTGCTGGAATTTATAAATGAGTTCTGGTAATGGCCATTCTGGAAGCTAGAAATACCAAATGGTGAGTTTAAAAACACACTTAAATGACTGTGTTGCACTACGGAGTGGAAATTATGCCATGAGAGAATTAAATAAAGCTACTGTGCTTAGAGGAGACATTTTGTCTTAGGCTGAATATCAAGAGGGATAAGAGAAGGCAAAAACCGAACTGAACTTCAAGTAATCAGAGGTTATTAGAAAGAACATTTTTGGAGAAAGACATTATATATATATATATATATATATATATATATATATATATATATATGGAAGCATGGAAAAATACCTAGTAATTTTAGAAAAATGTAGTACATCTAAAGGAGATCATGCAGGAAATATGTTAGAGCTGTAATTAGGGATGTTTGCTGCCTTTCTATACTGAATATTTTATAGGAAGAAGCTAATTCAATAGAAAAAGTCTTGTATACAGGGTCCTGTCTAGAACCATGATCCAGTGAAGCTGGGGCCAGGAGCTACAGGATGGAGGGATCACTATCATTTCGAAGGCATTTCCAGGAGTCCACATGAAAAATAATTAGGCCTTAATTGAGGAAACAGAGGAGCTAATGAAAAAAAGATCTGGATTGTAATGTTTACACTGCATAATGCTTGGACTCTGGCAACTAATTTGTTGAGAAGCATGAAGGATTAATGATTGGTTCTCAAGGCTATGGTGGTGTTAATAACAAGAAAAACAGAAGAGAGAACATGGTGAGAAGAAGGAGAAATACACTAATTTTTCTCACAGATCCATTGAATTTGAAATGGTAATGGAATATGTCTTAAAAATGTATCAGAAATAAATATAATTTTCAAAGGGAACAAAACTAGAGAGTGAAAGGTATTCAATAAAGTGATGGAAGTGGATGGATTGAGCTCAGGGAAGTGTTCAGCTCTTTGGATACGCATCAGAAAAATAATTAAGGATGTTAACATATCAACAATGAATAAAAATGAAGAGGAGCCATTGGATTAGAGATTAAGTCACTATCTGGGATCTTAAAAAGACACATTTTTATCAGTAGGGAAAGCAGTTTGCAAGGACTTGCCAATTAGTGGATAAAGAAAGAAAGAGAGGGTTTGGAGGAGCTCAGAAGTGGTGTGGTACTGGCTGTGGTGAGTTCCACAGAGATCTGCCTAGTCAGGAACGATGCCAAGCACTTCTAGCTGGAAAACTGTTCAGGGAGGGTGCAGGACAGAAACCGTGAAACCAGGAGTGCAAGCTGGGCCTTTTATCCCGAAAAAGGCAGAGGCCTCTGGCTTGGCAGGCGAGGCGGTAAGTCAGGAAGGAAACTGAAAAATGTGTGTGCGCTTCCTGTGGGGAAGAGAACTTTCAAAGTAGGTTTGGAAAGCTTCTGACTCCTGAATTCTAGGCAGGAGTATCTGCTGAGAGTGAGGATTAACGGCTGGGAAAATGGCTTTCATTCAAAAGGAGGATCGGCAGGATTTCTTATTACCAGTATGAGATTCAGTTCAGGGTTGCAATCATTTCATTTGTGTTTGTGCTTCTGGGCTTGGTGTGATGGAGTCACCACTCTCAGATGTGGCTAATTGGAGCTTACTTTGTTCCAGGCGCTGTGGCTACAGCAAAGCAAAGCAGGATCCAGAAGAGGAAAAGATGCACTTTCATAACGGGCACAGTAAGCAAACCACAAAAAGAGAGACAGAAAGAGGAGCCCTCATTGTTATTTGTTTTCAGGGTAGAGGATTTATAATAACCAACAAAAACATTACATTGCAAAAGCAGGTGTCTGTTAACACATCCTTATAAGCCCACGGGCGGGGACATTGCTGTTCAGCTAAGGCCAAAGCTGCGTGTTTCATTCAGTTCTTTAAATACAGTTTTAATACAATCATTAAAATAAAAACCGCAATACAAAAGCTGTTATTTCCAAATCAAATTCCTATGCTTATTCTAATTCCTAACAACATACCAAGTAGAAATCTTTCATTAAATAACACCACCAGGTTAAATAAGTAAAATTTCTATTTCTTCTTCTAGCATTTTAAGGGGAATTTCCCTCAAAGGACTCTGGGGCTGCAGCCTTTGTTCAAATGACTTAAAAGGGACTACATTTTTAAGACATGCATAAACCCAGGTTTTAATAATAGCTTAAAATTGGTTTAAATGAGTTCTAATTATGTTATTTTAGTATGTTCATTTTCTCACACACTACAAAACAAGTTGATCTGCCAAATAAATGAGTTTTTCTTGTTTTTGTCACCCTGCCATGGCCATCATATACTGAAAAGCATTGATTCCATTTCATTGTCCGCTCATTAATGTGGCTATTGTCCAAAAGCGCTATCAGGCTGAACCTGGTAGTCTTTAAAGTGATAAACTGAGGTTCAGGGAACATAAAAGTCTTAGAAAGTCATGCGGTCACAGAGGCAGAGTGAGAAACAGAATCTCTCTTGTTCTTTTCATTTCTAACCAGTCTAATTGCACTGTACCACTAATAGTTTAAATTACTTCGGAAAAATCAAAATTAATAATCTGTGTTGATATTTAAGTGAAGCAGACAGTATGCCAACAAATAAACCACTGGCATTTCATTGTCCAGGTTAATAAGTAAAATGTTCCCGAATTCTCTCAGGGACCACCTTTGTGAATAATATCATTAAAATATATATTTACTCAGATATCCTCAAATATGCATTTCCTGTGTGTGGCAATAATCCAGGAGTTTTAAATTGTAAAAGTGATATAATCACACAAATGGTTCTTATATCTCAGGAGATAGCATGACCTTGCAGCTCAGCTTTTTCTAGCAGTTAGAGTTTTAAACTAGTCTTGTGTGTTTAAAGTTTAGACTTTTGCGTATCTATTATAACCTGAGGTTTGATGCCCACTTATTTTTATAGTTAAACTGCCTGGTGTAAGAACCTACATCGATCCGCATACCTATGAAGATCCCAACCAAGCTGTCCATGAATTTGCCAAGGAGATAGAAGCCTCATGCATCACCATTGAAAGAGTGATCGGGGCAGGTAGGCGTGTGTCTAACCCAACCTTTAACTTCTGCTGCTGTTACAGAATGTCATATGTCTGTTCCCACTTTAATGCCAACTGTTTTTAATACTTCACAGTTGACTCACTTTGCAAGTGATGTGTGATTGATCACATTTTATTGCAGTCTTCTGACTACGTTTCTCTTAAGATTGATCATGAAGTTTCAACTCCTGTTTGCCTTTTTATTTGTCTAAGCTTTAATACTCCAAGAGTGTCAGAGCAGTTCTAGAATACGAGTTTCCAGTGAGCTTATGCCTCTTTCCTCCATTTTTCTCACAAGGTGAATTTGGTGAAGTTTGTAGTGGACGCTTGAAACTACCAGGAAAAAGAGAATTACCTGTGGCCATCAAAACCCTGAAAGTAGGCTACACTGAAAAGCAGCGCAGAGATTTCCTAGGAGAAGCGAGTATCATGGGACAGTTCGATCACCCTAACATCATCCACCTAGAAGGCGTTGTGACCAAAAGTGAGTATCCGTCCAGATTATTGTTCATTTTAACTTAATTTTTATTCATATTTTCATTATTTGATCTTACCATGAGTTCAATGTCAGAGAAAATGTATAAAGATTTTTTTAAAGCACTAAAGATATCAGCATTTTTTTTATTGACTTTTCTACTTCTTGTACTAATAAAATAGTGACTTCAAAGTATAGAGAAGCTCAACAGTTAACAGGCTTTCTGTAACCACAGCTGCCCTGTCACCTGTTAAGCAATTCGGTAGCCAGAAGTCCCTATTTTAGACATTTTAGTTCACGTATGTTAATGGCTCTAGCACCCTGAAAGAGATCTTTGATACTTAAATTTTTTGTTGTTCTTATTAAGTCTAGGTTTCACCCAGAGATATCTATAATTGTACATCTCTTTTAAATTTTGGTTAGTATATTGTAAAATTATCTGTGTAATCATTATGCACTGCAAACTGTGGCATAAGCGCCTGCCTTGTAAAGCAGGCAGTCGTGAGTTCGATCCCCAGTACCAATAAAAAGGAAAAAGACAAAAACAAAACAACAACAACAACAAAAAACAAGTACTAATAAAAATTTCAAATAAACAAATAATACATAAAAACATTTCTCCTCTAAAACTGCAAGTAGCATAGAAATAGAATAAAATGCCTCACTCCTCCTTCCCATTCCCCATCTGGACCCTCCTTAGCAGAAATTGTAAAGCTTCCCCGAAGCCTTTCTGCATTATCAACATAAATCTGTAAACAAACAGTTCTGTAAAGTCTTGTTCACTCTTGTCATTAAGCATTAGAGGATACTGTGTTATGCATTGTCTTGCATTTTTTTTATCTTTTTCTTTTTTTATCTGTACTGGGGATAGAACTTATAACCACACACTTGCAAGGCAGGTGCTTATGCCACTGAGCTAATCCCCAGCCCCAATTCACTCTTTCTCATTTAGAGGATTGTTTGCACATTGTTTTAAGTCAGTATCTAGGGCTCTAGCTAATGCCACAATTCCACAGAATGACTGCCCATGATTTAATCACACTTCTGTTTATAAGCAGTGAAGTTCTTTCCGATTTTTCACTTTTAAAAGACACTTCAATAAGTAACATTCTATACACATCTTTGAATACTAACATGACACATACTATTTTAAGTTTTTATTAGTGCTTCTTTGTAGTACATAATGCTTCATCCACTGTGGGGAATTGGTGCACATATGTAACACATCTCTATTCTATTTGTTCCCCTCCCCGTCCGTCGTTTTTTTGACCAGCATCAGATTCCTTTTTTTTTTTTTTTTTGCTCTTATAAATAATTCTAAAGTTAATTATACATACAGATTGACAGCCAGACTGACAGGCTAAAAAACATACGAAACACATAAGACAATGCACTAAGTCAAGGTACACTTTCAGATACATTGTCCATGCTGAAATCACTAGTTTTTCCTTTCTTTTCTTTCTATTGTCTATTTTGGGTTATTTTGTACTTTGTTTATATTTTGAGTTTATCATGTGGAATAAACCATGTGATTGTTAAAATAAGTTATCTGTGCAGTGTGCGTTCAAAAAAGCATGTCTAATTGTTTTCCAGTCACACAATAAAGAATTTTCTTTGAATCCATTTACTCTTTTTCACTCTTGTGCACTTTGGTTCTTTATTTCTTCTTCCCTTTCAATATAACTTTTCCTAAACTTTCTTCCAAACCTTTGTTCAGCCTCCAGTTTCTATTAATCATGTTTTGAAATATACTTGGCAAAGTACATGCACACCCCATATGTATTCAATAATGCTGTTACTCTAACCTGAATATGCTTAATGTACATTCATTATGTACATTATTTATTTACTATGTTCAATATATTTAATGTGCATTTGACTTATATGTAGTTTAATACACATTTGACTTTTTTTTGCAATAAAGAGAGCAAAGAAACATAATACCATACTTATCTAGTCTTTAAGGATTCCCAGCTCTTGGTTCATCTGCAGTGGGTTACAGATCCAGAGACTGCTCCCGTGTCCTAGGAACTGATCTGTGAGTGGCTGATTGAAATTTTGAATCAGCCTGTATTAATGAATGATTGCTGTCTCGCACTTTGAGGACACACGATTCTCCAGTTAAGATGCTCCTTGTCCAGTGTAATAAAGACACAGAGTAACCTGTAAGAACTCTAAATGCAGAAATGTTCTCTCCTCAAGTTGAATGTGTGCCCATTATTTTCCCATCAAGGACCTTGCTGGAATGAAAAGGACATTCTGACAAAAGAGTAGGAAAAAAAAAAAATAAGTTGCTAAACAAAGGTGGGAAACAGAGACAAAAAAAGAGGCAGGCAGAAGACAATAAAAACATCATAATTTTTGAAAGAAATAAAAAGTATGCTACAACATTTATATCTTGTGGTAAGTGTTTGGTAATATTTCAGATAAGATAGGATGTCACAAGTATGGTCACAGGTCCAATAAAATAAAACGCAGATTAAGTTCAGCTGCCTGCTGTTTGCACAGAAGCTCCTGAAGGGAGGTGTGAGGTGGGGGGGTGGGGGGTGTCAGGGCAGCAGCTCGCAGCTCTGCACTCCCCAGCCTGGGAAGCTACTGCAGGAGAGCCGGGCCAGCAGTTCCAGGCCAGCCTAGGAAACTGAGATCCCTTCAAAGACAGCAGCAGCAACACCAGAAATTTCAAAGATGCAATATGTTCATTTCCTATATAAGAATCTTGTCGGGTAATATAAAATATAGTTCTTAGAGTACTCGTAATAAATGTAAACAAAAATTTGATACACTTTATGTCTTCATTTCTACTTTTACCTGACTTCTAAATTTAACTTCCTAAATATAAACTCTCACTGGCCTTCCCATTACCCAGAGTAAGTATACATTGATAGGCAGCTGGTCTGCTTGCTGGGATGGGTTAAGATGTGATATTTAGCGCTGTTGGATCACCATTACTGTCATGGAAGCCCACCTTATGTACTGATCAAGAGCAAGAACATGAATCTAGTGACCGTATTGTAATTTGGTTTTGCTCTACGCTCTTGTGTGGTTTGGCAAAACTGAAACATTCCAAACTTTAATTTTCTCATCATTTTGTTACCGTAGTGATAGTACGAATTGATACAGGTAAATTTACAACATGAATGGAACGGGTTGAGTAGCAGCAATTATATAGTTAATTATATTGTAAACGAACTGTCTTCACATGCTAAGGTCTACTTTATATCTATATTATTTTTAATCTTGTCAGTGTACCTTGTAGTTTGCTTGCCTGAGTTGCCTCTTACTCTGAAATTTACCCTCTCATGGTCATCACCTTTTCTTGTCAGTTCCTTCAAACCCTTTCACATTCTATCCACCCCGTGCCACGGTTGCTCATCACATTGTCTGAAGTAAGTGTGCATTCCTGAGTGCTGAGCAGAAGAGTCTTTGTAAGCTATCATGTTCTTTCTTTCAGTTAAAAGGTCTTATTCAAATCAAAGTTCTTAATTTTATAATCATTTGCATATGTTTTTCAGCTCCTTAGCTAAACAATGTATTTTTTGAAGAGCTAGTTAATGCCCTAAATATTTATGTAAATGTGTTATAAATCTATGCCAGCCCATGGGTAGCTTACATTAAATGTCTTGAGCCTCAATATCAGACAAAAACATCCACCTTAAAGAATACTCATAGAAATTAAATTAAAATGTCTGTGAGGTATGTATGAACAAAATCTCAGACAATTACATTACTAAATAAGTGTATATTTTAATTGATTTCAGTGAATGTATCATATAACAATAAATGTATCCAAATACACAGCTAGTATATGTTTACATTTATAGGCTCTTGAGTTATTACATTAGAGATCATATTTTATGTCTGAACACTAACTGAGCTGAACCAAGAAAACTTCTCATATGAAGCAGTTGAAACCTTTTGTTTTCAGAAGCTGGTTTTTATAGAAAAATGATCATATGTAGAATGTGTATATTCTGCTCTAAAATGCTACTATGTTTGGAAAGATATTTTTCGTTTTCCAATATTCTATTCAAGTATTCCATTTGAAGTTGCTGTCCACCATAAGGCTACACATACAAGCAGAGCAAAATGTAAATCCTTAAACTATATGTCTATGTTTTGAACTTTTTTGCCTACGTGAATTGACACTATACCATCCCTTTTGAAATGTGTCTCTTGATGTTCAGTTTAGGAAACCTTCAACTTACTTTTAATTTACCGTGTCACAACTTACTTTATTTGTGTCCTTAATTTCACGCTCTCTGATCTGATGCTAATTTATTCAGCAATTATTCTCTACCCACAGCACACAGATAATGAGACATAAGTGCAACCGAATCTTGTGATTTTTCTGATTGAAGCTGAGTTGGGGAGTCTGAGGTAGCACCCCTCCATGGGTGGTGTCACTCAGAGCTGGGTCTGTCCTGTAGCTGCCTTCCATGTGAGACATGCGCCCCATGCAGAGTCCTTCTGTGACTTGTTGTGAGAGAGGATGCATCATAAATAGATACACAGATATAGTCTAGAGAAGTTTCTTGACAAAGTATAAAACCCACAGATCCTGGCTTAATTGACTCATTTGCAATGCAAGACACTGTAGTGAAATGTACACAGTGCCAAATTTTTACTATTTAATGAGATTCAGAAAAACCTAAAAGGAGAAAAAATTAGTAATTTTCCCATTGCAATGTTCTTCGTTCTTCAAGATTTTTTTCTACCAGTGAAAAATTACCCAAATGGACTAAAGAAATGTTTCTACTGTCTTATAATTATTCATAACTTTATTTCTTAATTGAGAATAATGTACAAATGAGCTCATTCCTCTTATAAAATTAATATATTTATATAAATTACAGGAGTCTCTTTCTTTCTGTCCATGATGATTACACATTTAATGAAAATTGATTGCTTATATCCCCAGAAAAGCTTGACTTACTATGCATTTATAATTACCTTGAAAATATTTTATTTATTGTCTTACAAGGTTATTTTCTTTTTAAGGATCTTATTGT